CACCCACCAGACTGAGTGTGCACAAGGCACATAGTAGGGACTCAGTAAACGTTAAATGGATGGAATGGGTTCAAGGCCCACATCAAGCCCTCGGCCTCTTACCTGCTGCAAGTGGGCCCTGGCCTTTGGCCATGTCTACACTAGGAAATCCTCCCGCAGGGCCCCATCCTACTGAAGCATAGACGACACATCCCGCCCCAGCTTCCTGTGCACACAGATACCAAGACTGCACCTCCCTGCTAGCCGACCCCTCCCCTGCAAACTTCCCCTCCAACTGAGCATCTGTCCCCACACCCAGCCCAGGCTTGCAGGGTGCACTCAGTTCACCTTAAAACCCTCCCCTGACTGGACCAGTAGAGAGCGAAGCTCTTATGTCGCTGGACTCCCACGTGGCCAACGGCAGTTAAGAGTCTCTGGCCTGGCAGTCTGAAACTCACGCCGGGCGCATATGTGTGCATGCCCAAAATCCCAAGAGGAGAATGGAGAAGGGATCGTGGCATGGCCATCCCCCCTGGGGGGTGATTTCTCATTTTCTGTCTCTGTCTCTGGGGAGCGCATGTGCCCAATAGCAAAAACCTCTCAGAAAGAAAAAAGGACATCCTCCCCTGACTGAGCACGGAGACTCCGAACCACTCGCCTGTCTCACCGGCCTCAGTGCCTCCACTTGCCCAGCCTGCTTATGCTATTTGCTGGGTAGTGGGAGGTACAAGGGTGGCAGTTATGACCTCTCAGGGCCACCTGGAACCCTGAGCCAGGCCAGGGACACCTTGTGAAGAACCAGCACTCAACAAAGCACAGCTCCAGAGGCCAGGGAGGACTTGAGCTTCAGGGGCCCAGGAGGAGTGACATTCTGAGACACACCCCCATCTGCCCAGAGATGCAGCCCCCGCCCCCTGCCCCATCCCGGAGAAGTCAGATTCCCCCTCCTGATTTCAGTCATTCTAGCGTCCAGGCCGGGGCCCACGACTCCTGACGCTGATCCACACCGGGGCTTCCTGTGGGAAGGCTTCCTTGGCTCTGCCGAATCCCCCTTGTTCCTGAACCCCTCCAGCCGTCCATCCCCAGACTCTGCACAAGTAACTAAGCCCCCACCCCAGACCTTGTACTGAAGAGGAAGTGAGGGGAAGTCCAAAGAGCTCTCCCAGGGGAGAGGAAGGATGGGGCTGGCAGGCCAAGGATGCGCATGAGCTGGGGTGTCCTCCACCGTGCTCCCCCAGGCGTAAGGCACCTGGACAGAGCCCTCCTTAGACCTGTCTGGGAGTTCATACCTGGGTTTAGGGCTAAAGTCGCTGTGGGGGGGAGGGCGGGTCCCCGCAGGCCCCACCCCTGGCCTCCCCCTCCCCTGGTGTAAACAAACGCACGCGTTCGCTGCGGCCAATGGACGGGGACAGTCGGGCGGGGGCGGGCTCCTGCGAACCGGCTCCTGGTCCCTTCCCTCCGCCGCGCGGTGAGGGCTCTGCGCGACGTCCCTACGGCGCCAGGTGGGGAGGAGCGCTCGCCGCGCCCCGCCCTCAGGCCAGGGAGCCACGAGCGTCCTGCGCGGGCTGTGCCCGTTGGCCCCGCTGCAAATGGCAGCGGGGACGGGGCCGAGATGTGC